ACCTTATTTCACCCAGATCCTCTTCAAAGCCTTTACTGACACTGAGGATGTGAACGTGTAGGAGGTCCTCATGACCATGGCTTCAGTCAGCAAGATCAGTCATATTCTCAAAGTGGTCAAACTCCTGCGGATCTAAGCTGGTTCATCACTCTACTGGGATGAGAGCATTTGGGTTAACTCTGCGCCAGTGTTACCAGCAGGTCTCATGCATTTTCCTCTTTATCCTCATGAAAATTTTCACTTTCTCTGCTCTCCTGCATTCAGTCGAGAGGGAAATGGAGGACTCTCCCATCACCAGTATCCCATATGCCTGGTGGTGGGCTGCAGTGAGTACCAGTAGTGGAATAACTCTGTATACACCTGCTAAAGATGTGACATAGAAACCAGTACTACCTCTAAGGAAACAATTCTATCTTGACCTATTGTTACAATCTTTAAATCACTTCAAATAGAATTGCATTACTAAAAGAAGACTAAAATACAATTTTCATTGACTAAAACTAGACTAAATGTCATCAGTTGTCGTCAACTAAAACTAGACTAGACTAAAAAGAGTATGAATGTGACTAAAACTGATAAAAAACTAAAATGACAGCTTCACACAAAAACTAGACTAAAACTAAAATTAAAACAGGCTGCCAAAAACAACTCTACTCAAAAGCACCTCCAGATTATCCTTCCACTTGAAACATACTATTTATGCTGTTTACTGGCTTTGCATTACATAAAAACTTTGTCAGTATATAAAATAATGCTTTAAAGAGTACTCCATCACTATGACAAAATAAAGACTATAACCCAAAGCAAGGAAATGTAACCACTGCTCTAAAACAGGTATCTATCTTTTCCTCTGTCTAATTTGCTCTAATAGGAAGTCCTGCTGGGGCTTTAACCCCTGGGGAGGAAATTCTCTCTCTAGAGCTCAGAATTGGCCATAGCACCAAAAGCACAACTGGTTCCTTTGACACTTGTAGCTGCATAAGACTCCTTTACCTGCTGCTATGGTCACCAGCTGGCAGCAGAGAGAGGATGTTCCCTTTTGCAGTGGTGGAAAGTACCTAAGTATATTTACTCAAGTACTGTACTTAAGTACAATTTTGCAGCATCTGTACTTTTACATGAGTATTTTCATTCTCTGCTACTTCATATTTCAACTTCACTACATTTTAGAGGCAAATATTGTACTTGCAGAATGCAAGACTTTTACTTATAACACCGTTGATTGGCTACTTTTACTTAAGGGATCTGAGTATTTCTTACACCATTATCTGTGGTGTGCACTCACTGTCTCTCTCTCAGTAATCCGGGTTCCGATTTGAGTGCCAGCATGGCTGTACAGAGCATTTTGTCACCACAGAACCAACGTGGCTTCCTCACAACAACAACAACAAAATTTCAGTATTTTTTTATCAACCGATAACAAATGTTCTTTTCACTTAGCAGAGGTTTTGTTGGAGACTGACAGGACTTAAAATTTAACTCTACTCTCATTCTTTAAGAATCCTATAATACTATAGAATACTATATCATAAAAGATGATACGATATGATATTTAGAGTGGTGTGAGATGTGGGAACATATTGCAAAACAATGGTTTTGTGTTGATGCCCTCTATTAACTAATAAATGTGACTGAACCTCCACTGATCCTTAACCACAGACAACATCCAAGAAAAGCAACAGCATGCAGCTTGAGCTACTGGGCGGTAATCATATTTTGCTGATGGTTATCACATTAGGCCCCTCATATTTGTCTCCATACCCTTTGCCCTATTGCCGGTTTGCTGTGCCTATTTTGTAATGCACACTCACATTACATGCACTCTTAAGCTGAATCTAAACTTATTTTTAACTTGAACTCAAAACTTTGACTTGAATTGTACAAAACAAGTTCATGTAAAGAAGTAGAAACATGTTGCTAAACCGTATGTGGGAAGTGCTTCACACATGATTTGACACATGATCTGACTTCAAATAAACACAAGAGAAGGAAACGTATTATGGATTGTTAAAGTAAACTGATGACACATGATTTGCATTTTAATGACTTGTGAACATTGCTGGTGGGTGTTGCACAAGAGTCTGCTCTTTACACTTGTTGCAACACATCTTTGGAAGTGTGAAGACTCAAAATCATATTGTTTTGTACATGACGATATTTAGACATGAACACCAGACATCGAATTATCTGCATGTTTTAATAAATTCATAGAAGACAACTGAGCTCCTTGTTCCTTTTTCTTTCCTTTTTTATTCTATATTGACAATATGACGTCAATGCAAACAGGATCTGGGTAGAAAGAAGCAAGAGGATGTGACTTCTGAAGGCAGTCCACTAAAGCCTATTTCAACATTTTAATCAAAGAGAAGAAATGTTTGAAGGTACTAATTATGTTAAGCCCTTATTTGCCTGTTCTATTCAAGTAGCTGGTTATTGTGCTGTTAAAAAGGGTGAGTGTCAGGATTAGAGCCCCTAGTTTGTAATGCACACTCACATTACATGCACTCTAAGTTGAATCTAAACTGAATTTCTGAAATTGAACTCCAAACTTTGACTTGAACTGTACAAAACAAGTTCATATAAAGAAGTAGAAACATATTGCTAAACTGAATGTGTGAAGTGCTTCACACATGATTTGACACATGATCTGACTTCAAATAAGCACAAGAGAAGGAAACGTATTGCGTATTGTTAAAGTAAACTGATGACATGATTTGCATTTTAATGACTTGTGAACATTGCTGGTGGGTGTTGCACAAGAGTCTGCTCTTTACACTTGTTGCAACACATCTTTGGAAGTGTGAAGACTCAAAATCATATTGTTCTGTACATGAAGATATTTAGACATAAACACCAGACATCATTCACTGACTGACAGCTATGTTTTCATCATCATATGACAGAAACATCTTGGTTGTGGCTCATAAATACATTTGAACAATCCAAAGTCATGTGTAAGATCAATTTCATTCACTGACTTCAACAAGAACTTGTTGAACCATCACAAACTTGTTGACAACCATCAGCAGCATTTACCCTCCTAGAACCTCTCAGCAATGGTTTTGTGTCGATGCCCTCTACTATTAACTAAATAACAAAACATGAAGAATGATGGTACAGGACAATGTGACTGTGAACCTCCATTGATCCTTGACTGACAACATCCAAGAAAAGCAACAGCATGCAGCTCCATCGACTCCTGTGTTTTTGACTCGGCTTGTTCCTCTGACTATTCTGTTCTGCCTTGCCCTCTTGCTTCAGACTGTCACTGTGTATAATTATCGGACTTCCCTTTGGACTACGTATTTGGATTCCTCTGCTGTATGTGTTTGCTGGCTCTGATCTCGGACTGTTTATACCGACCTGTGATTTTTGTGTTTCACCGTGTCTTGTATGGTTTTGTTTAGCGTTAGTTCTCTTATTAAAGAGACGGTTTTGTTTTACATTTCCTTGTCTGGCCTTTTAATTGAGTTCACCCTCAACATTTTTGGCAGCATAACGCGCCGATTCCTGACATGTGGTGTGTGCGTGTGTGTTTGTCTTTATATACTTGTGCGAACCAACCCCTGATGGAACACCTTTCTTGTGTGGACATTTCATTGGTGACTTTCACCAATGCGGTTTTTGTACTATGATGGACTCTAAATCCTGACTGAAAATCCTCAAACAAATCATTCTTGTGCAAGTGGTCACATAACTGCTTTGCAACAGCTTTTTCAAGGATTTTGGAAATAAATGGGCGATTGGATATTGGTCTATAATTAGCTAGGACACCTGGGTCAAAGGTAGGCTTTTTGAGTAGCGGTTTAATTACTGCAAGTTTAAAAGCCTGTGGAACATAACCTGTTAATAGAGAGAGGTTAATCAGATCTAGTATGGATGTGTTGATTAGGGGAAAGACGTCTTTGAGCAGCCTGGTCGGGATGGGGTCCAGGAGACATGTTGATGATTTAGATGAAGCAATTGTTGAGGTCAACTCAGAGAGATCTATAGGGGAGAAGTAGTCCAAGTATAAATTAGGTCTTACAGATGCTTCTAAAGCCATTGTAGTAGATGGCACAAAAGACTTCAGTGCCATAAAATGGAGGGAAAAAAAGACTGAGGCCATAACAAAACCGTTTTGCCCTCTAACTACTAAAAAAACAAAAAGACAAATCTTTTGTTCACGTTATGGCCTCAGGTTAGTTTACCACTAACAGCAGCGGCATCAAAACGGTGAATTTAATGTCAGAGAAGTCCCAGGACTCTAGGTCAACCATGAAATTTTGCAGAGATCCAGGGTATGTGCAGAATGAATGTCTGACTTTGGTGATCCCGACTTTCTTCTAACATGCTGTTCTTATTCTCTTTGACAGCAAAAATGTCAGACAGTATCATGATTGTTTTTTTTGTGTGTTTTTTTAACATCACAACCTTTCTGGAAATTTAATTTAATGGCGACTAAAGCTACAATATGCAGCTCTTTTGTTGCAGAAATAAGCTCCAGAACTTGTCTTAATGTGGAGAGGTGCTGTCGAAGCCTCCTGTGACCCAGACTCAGTGAATTGCACAGGCAGCAGTGCAGAGACATTAGCTTCTTAAAGGTTTTGAGTGGGATTGACCTCTCTAATCAGAGATTTTCAATTATTTCTGCTTGATCAGTAAGTTTTGTTGTCTTCTCATTTCCTGTAAATTTCACAACGTCAAATATCTTAAGAGCTGGGCAGAGCAGAGTTGGAGTTTCATGCTAGTGCTACCTTAAATTACATAGTGTGGTTTTAATCAAAGACAATCTCGTATGATGCTAAATTTTAGTAATGACAAACTGAAAAAGATCCAGATTGTTTGTGCTGAGGCACATGACACCACATTTACTGTACATGATAACACACTGAAATAACATTCAGTTTGTTAACCACTGTTTAAAAGATAATACACACAGTGTATCTATAACAGGCTGCTTTATAGGAGAACAATGTGCAGTTACAACTGATTATGAACACATAGTGAAAAACATTAGATTCATTTAGAACATAACTTTATTCATGATGCAAACAGAGTACACTACAATGATAGCAATGCTATCCAAAAATAAATAAAACCCTTCCTTAAAAATAAATACCAACCACAGAACTGTTTCACCACATCAGAAACATCTTTTACTTGGTACCAGTAGATTTTTATCAGCTCAGCTGTACCATACACATTTTTTGAGACTGTCACAGTAATTGCTTAAAAAGATGTGAATTCAAACAGTTAGTCAACTGAACATTCACTCCAACAATAACCACACACTCTGCACAAGAGCAAAACCAAATCTCCAGGAGACATGTACTCAAAGTACCATTGAACAAGTTAGGCTTTATTTCTTTGTTAGAAATGTTGCTCTCTCACAGTGAGATGAGAGGATTAATACTACTCATGTCCGTGTGGTAAATAAGAAGCCAGTGCAACGATCTGGTTAGACTAGCTTAGCATAAAAACTGGAAACGGAGCTCGAGAGGAGCTGGTAGGTGGATTTTCCTGCATTTGGACAGAGCCAGGCTAGCTGTTTACCCCCCACTTCTAGTTTTTAGGCTAACATCTTCTGGGTGTTAACTTCATATTTACTACACAGATATGAGAGTGGTATTAAGCTTCTCATTTAATGAAAGAATTACTCCTTCAAAACTGAAGGGACTACAGTAACTTTTTAGAAGTCTTTCTCTCTGATCTCAGACTTTTTTTTAAAATCACTGACTCAGTTCATGAATGATTTACCCTTCACAGGAAGTCGGGGCACGGCTGTGTGATCAACCAGGTTGTGTGCCGCCTCATCCCATCATCCTGTGTGGATTTGAGGCATCATCAGGTGAAGCCAAGCAGCTGACTGTGACACACCATCTTCATTCCCTGTCCAAGTCCAGCTTAGGTAGAGTTTCCTGGTGGTGGAGAAACCACATCTTAGCTGACACACTGCACAGCATTAAGCCTTTACTCAGAACAGAGTTGGTCAAGGTGTTAATACGGGAAGCTACTGGAGCACTCTTTAAGATAAATTAACACATTTCCATCTATGGAAACTAAATAATAGAGTCAGACTGTTACTTGATTTTTAACACCGAGGTATGAATTTATATTTGTGATTTTTAAATCTAATTTTATTATTTGTTAATACAAAAATGTTTTAAAAATATGGATCTTTTAAATTTGGTTTTATAGAGCTTTGACAGAGATATTTACCGAGTGGGACATTTTACAACTGAAAACTCATCAGAAAGGTTTTAATCAGGTTTAAATTTATAAAAATTCAGCTTATATAACTTTTTGAAACTGGAACTATTTCTGTCACAAATTACCATCAGGTCTCTGCAATTTTTCAATTTAGCAGTACTAACAATGTAAATGAGCACAGCCGCAGTAGCGTTAAGACCAGAACATGACCTATGTTAAGTATGCTTACACAGACGCTTTGAGCTACACAAGCTCAATTTCATGCGCCGTTATGTTCATGAATGTGTCCCCTGAAAAATCTTAATGTGACACAAGTGAGTTGTAATTTCTAGCTTTGCCACTAGAGGCACTGTATCATGAAACAACAAGAGATAGAGGCCCCTTCTATTGGGATTAATAGGCTAGTAGGTCATCATATTTATTAGGTATCATCCTGAAATACTCAGTATTTTTCCTCATCAGAACGCACCGGATTCACTAGAGACACAAATTCTCAATCCCTTTTACGTGATCAATTCAAATGCCGCACATAAATAGCCATAAATAGATGTAGACATGCTCTAAATCAACTTGCAAACATTATGTCCTTCCTTCAGTTGTGTTCTGAAAGCCAGTAACGTCTCACATAACAGCTGCCAAGCGAAAGCCTAAAGATACATATTAAATGAGACCAAACGCACACCTTCCAGCTGTGCTGCGTTTCTTCTTTTCCCCTGGTACAAAACTCTACTATGACTCCTTAGTAAATAAGAATTCAGTGCCAAAAAAAGCCACAAAACCTTTAGTAAATATTCCCTTGAGTCAAGTCTGGACAAGTGTATATGGAGCTCCTAAATCAATGTCTGATTCTGCAACCTTCTCTTGCCTTGACAAGACATGCATTTGCATGTATGGGTGGCCCCTGGATAATGAGCGGATCTTGGGATTCCTTGAGGGAGGTGTTCTGCACAGTGAGACACCTGGACAGTCTGAGTTGCTTTCTCCACCACCAGAAAGCCATTCCCAGCAGCAGCATGCTAAGAAACACTGGAAAAACACAGTCATGAATGAGGTTACTTCTACTGACCTGCCAGAGGGCATGTTAAAAAGTAGATATTTATTTTCTGTATGTGATCTGACCCTTAGTTCATCTAAGCTGACAAACAAACAAGTAGCTGCTTTTATTTCATTTAGCAAACCGTTAAAGTTGTCAACTTAAAACACATTCCTATATATTGTTTCTTTCAAGCCCTCAGTCTGTATAAACATCTAACTGAATCTCCAGGTAGAATCAGTTGCTCAGCAGCTCTTGGCCCATGGGAACACACAGTGACAACTGCTGAATTTTGCATGTTCATGACTCAGCGTGGCCAAGGCAACATTTGTGTACAATGACAAATGCATATCTTCTTAAGTTACATCATGTTGGGAAGCAGCTGGGAAACCATAACTAATGGAAATATCAGGGACAAAATTACATCTATATTTGTCTTTCATAGTCAGTATTTGATTATGAGCCAGTAATAAATAATTACCAAAATGTGTCCATTTGATCACGCTATTTTAGCTAGTGTTGATCTGCCCTGTGTTGACAAATTGTGTTCCATAGTCTATACTAGCAAGATAAAGAAATTAGGTTTTCAGCACTGTGAGGACTTGCTATGAGATTAAACGTGGGAATCAGATTCTTACCGATAAGAAAGAGGATTCCAGCAAATGTATGGTTGGACAAAGTTGATGTAGGAATATTCCGAGAGATGGCAGGGATTTTATCTGATTTCTTTTGTCCTGTTTCAGGCAAAACGCAGCTGAACTTCGGACTCTCAGCCTGCGGGTTGACACACTTATGCTGGCACTCTGTCCCGGTACGTTCACATACAGATGGCCCTAGGAATCAGCAGTATGTAATGTAGAGCCAGGTGAGAGGAATCTGTGACTGTGAGGTGGCCCTGTTTATTTACGGCACCTTTAATGGTATGTGCACTTAAAAATAAAACTTCAATCTGCAAAATTATACTAACGTCAGAGGTATATGTATAGATCACTTCTGATTGGTCATACCGTTTGGTTGAAGAGCAGGCTGAATGATGACCACACCGCCCGGTGAGGTGACGTTTGTCAGCAGTACTTGAAGTTGGCTGCCATTGTGCTTATTTGCTCTGCAGATGGAGCTCGTGACGCCTTCACTCCAATATACAAAACCCTGAAGCAGAGGGGACACATTCAGCAGAACTGCTATAACAGGCTGTCTGCTGAATCAATTTCCTTCCTTAAAGGATCTGTAAAGCTGATTTTGTTTTTTCAAAATATTGTAATTACATTTTTTTTAGATTCTATATTTTACCATCACCAAGTGTCAATCAGTGAAATGGCACGAAACCAAGCGGCATCATATATCCAGAAACTTTTGGGAAAACAAAAAGCAAAGAATAATTTATTGGGCCAAAATTGACAGAAATCTGGTACAGTAGCTTTTAGACACGAATCAGTTACTGAGTCCACAGGGAGTTAAAAAAAAAAAACAAATCTGATCCTGAAATTTCATGTGAACTGAAAATCAAGTTGTTTATATGTGATAAGAAAAAAACCTGACATCATTCACCAATCAGCCATCGCATTATAACCACTGACAGATGAATAAACACTGATAATCTCTACAGTGGCACCTGTCAGTGTGTGGGGTATATCAGGCAGTAAGTGAGCATTCAGTCCTTGAAGTTGTTGTGTTAGAAGCAGGAAAAACAGGCAACTATTAAGATCTGAGTAACTTTAAGGGCCAAACTGTTTTTTTTTTCCAGCTCATGGGTGGCCACACCCTGTCCTAGTACACACTGGTTGAAAGTCAGAGGTACACCAATCTCCCTACCGTCTTGGGGCTGTAATGCTTTACCTCAAACACAGCCAGTCCAAAGGGCTGGTCCAGGTAGCCATTAGACTCTACCACTGTTTTACGGTCTCGGCCTTCTAAATTGACTCTGGAGATGCTTCTCATTCCTTGGTCAACCCAGTACAGCAGTTTACGAGACACATCTAGGAAAAAAAAAAAAAAACACCATTCATGGACACAATAAAAAACAATGAGGGACTTCTACTTAAATACACTTAACTGAGCTTTGTGATGGCATTTCTGAATTACAGAACTAGAAACAGTAGATATAATTTCTCTTTTAAAAGCGAAGCCGCTCTATTCCCTCTTCAATTTAGATTCACTATGAACATGAAATACAGATTTTAAAACCTATCAGCTACACAGAAATTTCAAACCTCCTGTATCATATACCAGAACATACCCAGGGTGAGGGAAACAGGCTCACGTACTAAGGAAGTGACCAGAGGCATCCTGTCCCGGCCGTCCAAACTGGCCCGCTCAATTTTTGGGAAGCTGCCACACTGAGCCCAAAAGAGCAACCTGAGAAAGCAGAAGCAGCTGAGTTTTACAATAATAAATGAAAGAACAACAGTCAGGAAAGGTATCAAAGAATTATTCAGATTATCTTTAAAGACAAAACAGACAGAATGAGCTAAAATGCTAACTGACAAGGCCATGTGGTTGGACCTAATTATGCTCTCTTTAGTGTGCAGTTGCCATCTGTTAATGTATGTATTGTCACGTACTACAGTACATTGCCTCTCCCAGGGTAAAATGGCCTTATACTTGTATAGCGCTTTCTATGCAATGAAGCACACTCAAAGCGCTTTTACACTATTCTTCATTCACTCAATTGTGCACATAAACATTCTCACACACACACTGATGGCACAACCACCAAGAGCGACTTGGCGTTCAGTGTCTTGCCCAAGGACACTTCGGGATTTGAACCGCCAACACTCTGGTTAGGAGACGACCCACAGCCACCCCGCATGATTTAAAACAAACAGTCTTGTGTCCAACCACCTACAGTGCCTTGCGAAAGTATTCGGCCCCCTTGAACTTTGCGACCTTTTGCCACATTTCAGGCTTCAAACATAAAGATATAAAACTGTAATTTTTTGTGAAGAATCAACAACAAGTGGGACACAATCATGAAGTGGAACGAAATTTATTGGATATGTCAAACTTTTTTAACAAATAAAAAAACTGAAAAATTGGGCGTGCAAAATTATTCAACCCCCTTAAGTTAATACGTTGTAGCGCCACCTTTTGCTGCGATTACAGCTGTAAGTCACTTGGGGTATGTCTCTATCAGTTTTGCACATCGAGAGACTGAAATTTTTGCCCATGCCTCCTTGCAAAACAGCTCGAGCTCAGTGAGGTTGGATGGAGAGCGTTTGTGAACAGCAGTTGTCAGTTCTTTCCACAGATTCTCGATTGGATTCAGGTCTGGACTTTGACTTGGCCATTCTAACACCTGGATATGTTTAGTTGTGAACCATTCCATTGTAGATTTTGCTTTATGTTTTGGATCATTGTCTTGTTGGAAGACAAATCTCCGTCCCAGTCTCAGGTCTTTTGCAGACTCCATCAGGTTTCCTTCCAGAATGGTCCTGTATTTGGCTCCATCCATCTTCCCATCAATTTTAACCATCTTCCCGGTCCCTGCTGAAGAAAAGCAGGCCCAAAACATGATGCTGCCACCACCATGTTTGACAGTGGGGATGGTGTGTTCAGGGTGATGAGCTGTGTTGCTTTTACGCCAAACATAACGTTTTGCATTGTTGCCAAAAAGTTCGATTTTGGTTTCATCTGACCAGAGCACCTTCTTCCACATGTTTGGTGTGTCTCCCAGGTGGCTTGTGGCAAACTTTAAACGACACTTTTTATGGATATCTTTAAGAAATGGCTTTCTTCTTGCCACTCTTCCATAAAGGCCAGATTTGTGCAGTATACGACTGATTGTTGTCCTATGGACAGAGTCTCCCACCTCAGCTGTAGATCTCTGCAGTTCATCCAGAGTGATCATGGGCCTCTTGGCTGCATCTCTGATCAGTCTTCTCCTTGTATGAGCTGAAAGTTTAGAGGGACGGCCAGGTCTTGGTAGATTTGCAGTGGTCTGATACTCCTTCCATTTCAATATTATCGCTTGCACAGTGCTCCTTGGGATGTTTAAAGCTTGGGAAATCTTTTTGTATCCAAATCCGGCTTTAAACTTCTCCACAACAGTATCTCGGACCTGCCTGGTGTGTTCCTTGTTCTTCATGATGCTCTCTGCGCTTTAAACAGACCTCTGAGACTATCACAGTGCAGGTGCATTTATACGGAGACTTGATTACACACAGGTGGATTCTATTTATCATCATTAGTCATTTAGGTCAACATTGGATCATTCAGAGATCCTCACTGAACTTCTGGAGAGAGTTTGCTGCACTGAAAGTAAAGGGGCTGAATAATTTTGCACGCCCAATTTTTCAGTTTTTTTATTTGTTAAAAAAGTTTGAAATATCCAATAAATTTCGTTCTACTTCATGATTGTGTCCCACTTGTTGTTGATTCTTCACAAAAAATTACAGTTTTATATCTTTATGTTTGAAGCCTGAAATGTGGCAAAAGGTCGCAAAGTTCAAGGGGGCCGAATACTTTCGCAAGGCACTGTATAAAGTAAACAAACATTACCTGTAATTTCTTGACCATGATGCAAATAGGGGTGTAAGAAAATATTGATACACTTGAGTATCACGATATTACACTTGCTCAAGGGGGATTTGTGTTTCTCTCTTTATTAATAATTTCAAGACCTTGCTATGTAAAGTGCCCTGATTTTTGTCATGATTTGGTGCTATACAAATAAAAGTGAACTGAATATGTCAAGTGTTGACACAACACTCTTTACGTGCACAATGTCCATCATATAAATCATGCTACAACTTGTAAATGCTAATATTAACCATTACTTTGATCAGGATGCTAGCTTTAACCTAGATCCCGGAGAGAGATAACATTAACAAACTTGACCCCTCACTCCATTTCGTGTTTTTTAACAACCACCTAATTTTAAACATAGTTAGATACTTGTCAAAAAACACACTGCCGTGAGTATCGTGATGTCACACTTTGAAATACTGTATTAATTCTCAAAAACACAGCATCAAATTTTAATGAATAGTTCACATGCTAAGTAGTGCTATGTTGTTGGATGTTACAAGGACTGTGACAAATGCAGATCGCTGTTCCAATTGCATAAGAAAAGACAATTTTTTTTATAGGAGATTTTATGCAGTATCAAAATATATTGCAATATATCAAATCATAATCCCTGTATTGTGATACTACTGTATTGCCAGATTCTTGCCAATACAAAGCCCTAGAAACATAATTATCATCAGCTGAAGCTTTTTATTGATCCTGCTGTCGTGCAAACCTGAATCTCCTTGACAATGCTGTTAACTATGAATTAAAATGAAATGTAAATGCTGTGGCCCTCTTACCCTTGGAGAGGTTCCACAGCCACAGCAGAGGGTTTGTCCAGCCCTGTGATGAGTTGCCGATGTGCTGAACCATCCAGCAGGCCAACATTAACAGAATCGCTCTCTATACTGGTCCAGAGGAGGATCTGGTGGATCCAGTCCACAGTCAGGCCAGAGACAGACCCAGGAACGTTCAACACCAATACAGCTTCCTGTGGTTTTTCATCCATGGAGACCCTGAGAATCATATGGGATAGACACAACAAAACAGTTAAAGTCTAGCTAATCCACCCAAAGCCTATGACCACAATAGCAACATGACTCTAGGCACTGCAGGACATTTTGTTCAGTCATTCATAGACCCCAGATGATTAATCCTACTGAGTCTGATGATGCTGTGACCTTTCCTCTAGCACCATCAACAGGCTGACATTTATAACCATTAATGAAATATCTCAAAAGCTACTGGAAAGAGTTCTGTGAAATCTGATACACACATTCATGTCCTGTTCAAAATAAACTATGGCCTGTGGTGATCCCTTAGCTTTTCATACAGTGCTATAAAAACATTAAGAGATCACCAGATTCAGTAGCATTCATCCTCTGATTGGATTATGATTGTCTGTAGAGAATTTAAAGGCAATCCATCAAACTCAAATCAAAAAGTTTCCGGGTTGCAAGTGAGAGCAGACGTCTTTACTGCTCCTCTTGTCTGTTCTACACTTTCAAGTCTTTGAACAAACTCTACAACTATTAAAATGCCTCAAAGAGGGAAAATAGCTAACAAATCAGAA